CCTGCCGCCGCCCACTCATCGTCACCCACTGCGTGCCGGGCAGAGGGGAGCACAAAAAATAAGTCACTCACTTAAAAGTTGAGAGCGCCAGCAACGTTGCAAAGTTTGCTCAGGGTCCCCATGTCCATGTCCATGTCGATGTTCCATGTCCTCCGTGGCCTCTGTCCTGCGACTGCCAGCTCCCTCCATGTCCTGCGACACTCCCGACTGGCTGCATTGCTGGTCAGTTAGTTTCAATTTTAGTTTTTCAGTTTTTGCAGTTTTTAGGACTCCTAGCTCCCCCCCTCCCTTCCGTTTTTTTTGGGGGGGGAATGCGACTGCAGCAGCCACTGGACGGCACTGATTACATGTGACAAGTTAATGAGTTTGCGGGCAAACATGGCTTGTTGGGCAAATAAATTAATTAGGGCTCTAATTGGGTTTTTTCTTGCAACCGCACTGCCCCACGGCCACGCCCACTGCCCACTGTCCACTGCACTTTAAATAAATGCCATATAAATCACATTTCAATTATAGCCAAACAATTGTCTGCTCTGCTCTGCTCTGCTCTGGTCCCCCCCCTCTGATGGAATCATCTTTCCCCCGACTTGAGCAATTTAATTTATGTGCAAAACCATTTCAATTTGATTCCATTTTGGCCAGAGGCTGTGCCATAAATACAAGTATGTGTACATTAAAACATTGCCATATGCAATTCGGTTTCGGTCTCGGTTTCTGGAGGGGGGGGGTTCGTTGAACTGAGATTTCAGACGAGTCAGTGCCAAACCAGTGCCAGTGCCAGTGGCAGTGCCAAAAAAAAATGCATCACAATTTATGCAGAGTCCTCGTCGCTGTATTGCCATTTCACATCATTAAGCGATAATTATTTGGAGCCACGCGGATTGTAGCCGAGAAATTATTGCATTTGTAACAAGAGTCCTGCCAGGGCCTGGCGCTGAATGAAAAAGCAATGAAACTGCAACTGAAATATGAAAGAAATATGGAGAGGGGGGGCACTTTTTTGGCTGGAATAAAATTTGGATTTAATTTACAATTTTTGTGCTTCGAAAAAAAGGGAATTTTAAAGTAAGGCCTTGGCGGGATGGTTGCCAATGGATGGACAGGGGCCTGCAGGTCGCTACAAGACTCAAAATTAAATGATTATATCTTAAATTAATTTCTTAGAGAATAATAAGCAGTTCTACAAGGAATAGTCGGCTTAAGAACCTACTTTCTGCAGGCCCTTAAGCCCTATAATATTCCAAAGATCTACCCACTTTTGTGAGTCTTCTTTTGCTGATAACAAAAGCCATGGGCAGGGCTCTTATCATGTCACTTTTTCACTTTTAATTCCCAAAAAGTAGCATTTCCCTCTTGGGCTTCTCTGCCTCATTGGAAGTACCCTCGCAAGAAAAAAATGGAAGCCTAGGCCTAAGCTCTCCAACGGACCAACAATTGACTTTAATGCAGAAAAGAGAACCGAACCGAAAGGCTGAAAGCCAGGAAGCCCGAAAGGAAACTAAGCAGCAAATAAATATCTTATTTCACAAGGAAATACAAAATAAATTGAAAGCCGAGCAGGGGAGGACCCAAAAGAGTAAGAACCTGGAAACTGGACCGAGAAAGCAAAAAAAAAAAGTAACAAAATCCCATAAACACGACATGTCACAAGTTTTTGTGTGTGTGTGCAGGAGGGGGAGGGGGATTGAGTTGGCTCCTAATTTAAAGAAAAATCAAACCGAGAAAATGCGGAGGCAGAAAAGGAGCTTTAGTAGTGGGGAAAATCGGTGGAAGAAAAGGAAAATTGCAAGCAAATAGGAAGCTCAACCTCACAAAATATTAGACAGGGAAACAGAGAAACAGAGGACGGAGGACAGAGATTTCAAACATTTTGCACATATTGAACAAATATCCTGGAAGTGGGAGTGCCACTGGATTTCCCCAATGACTTTGTCATTTTTCGTATCTCTGTATCTGTGCATCTGTTTTCTCGATAGGTTTTTCTTTGGTTTTTGCCTCTTGTTTGTTGTTGTTGTCGCATTTGCATTTGAAATTCCATTTGAATGACTTTCCTCCTGGCCCTCGACTCGTCGTTAATGAGAGAGGAATGACAAAAGCCTTGACCGGCCTGCCGGCTAATCAGATTCGACGGAAGCAGGCATCTTTTTCCGTCCTAATTAATCTGCTAATGCATATGCATGAGACCGAGCCACAATTCCGGATTGTTGGCGGAGTAATTGAAATTCGGTTAATTGAAGGAAATCAACGGAAAAGCCAGAAAGAATTCTGTTTTTTTTTCTCTTTTGGGGTCAACCAAACAGAAGCCCCAAACGTATAGCAGAGGCGTAGCTGAGAGGGGGGAGGGCTTTGGGGGGCCATCCCTGATTGAATCACGGACTCTGTTCTTTTTGCCTTTTCTTCGGTTTTCTTGGAAAAGAGGCAAAGTCCTCCCCTGATTGATTTGTAGATTCTTCGGCGATCTTTGACTCTTTGTTCGAAGAAAAATTCCCGAAAACATAAGCAAAAAAATTTCCTCAAACTCAGAGACTGGGCGTGTCCCGGTGTACGCCCCTTTTGACACAAGCCCGAGAGCCATCGTGAAAATATGCAAAACAACATTTTGTGGGAAAGCAGAACTTTTGCTTGTCAACACACACACACACATTGCTCTCTCTCTGTCCCTCTTTCTGCCACACTCATTTACATAATTATAAGATAAATAAAAATTTTTCCAGCAATAACAGAGACGTGGTTTTCCTTCCTCCTTCCCCCGTCAGGCCGACATCTTTTGTTTCATTTTTTGATTCCTGGCTGCCAAGGACGACGACGACGACATCTAACAATTTATGCAAAATAAGGGGAAAAGCTAGGCGTAGAGTGGGCGTGGCGCTGGGCTGGCACGTTGAAATCGAAAACAAAAGTTGGAAAGTCTGAATCGAGTCGAGAGCCGGAGCTGGGGCAGGAGCTGGGGCTGGAGTGTGTGACAATCGGATGGTGGTCACAACACAGCACTCATATAATCACTGAAGTGGTGCTAAACAGGAAACAACACTCGGAAATTTTGTAAAATTTATCACAAAATGGCTGCCGCTCAAAGAAGGAAGGCATGCGATGGGGAGGCCCAACTTATAGGTAGTCCTGAAGATCTTTTCTATAGGAGACAGATGAGGGAATATATCAAAGTAGGGAATCTGTAAAACAGGACAAATCTCGAAGAGTTCTGCAGAGTTCTGTAGGTCGGAAGGAGGCTCCTCTTGAAGGCAAAGATCTTCCGCAAGTCGCTGGACCCTTTCTCGTTTGAAGGGTACCTGTAACAAGTAGACATCTAGTGGCCTGATGACAGTTGGAGCTGCAGTCGCAGTCGCAGTCATTCCTCATTCCTCGCTCGGTTGATTTTTGTTTCATTTTATATTTCATGTGGCAGCTTAAGTGGCCATCGAGTCGAGATCCACACAAAAGGGTTGGGGCCAGGGCCAGGGCCAGAGCCGACGGCATTAACTTTTTTGACACTTTGATTGGACTGCGGGCTGGCAGGATGCCGAGGCGGGACAGGAGCAGGACAGGATCAGGGAAAACAACTTCAGTTGTCCGCTTTTTTAATTGAAATCAGCAAAGTGCATGGAAAAGAGAAATTGATTTCCACTTTCCCCCTCTCTCTCTTTGTGCATACATTTGCCGCAAAATGTTGTCAAGCCTTGGTCAGGGGCGTGGCCAGGGGAAGGGGGAGCGACAGAATTGTTGCATAATTGAGTTTATTAAAATTTGAATGGAGAACGTTAAATGTCTTTCCCTTGTTTCATTTACCTTATGAAATTTTAATTTTCAGCCTATGAATATTTCATGCTCTCCAAAATGCTTACACAATTTCCATTTTTCGGCCAATCGAAAAGTGCCAGCGGCCCCTGCCCTGCCAAAGGGTCCACTATAAAAGGCCAAAAAGTAACTTTTTGCTGCTCCACGACATTGAGGTCAGATGTCATCCACATCCCCCTTGCTGGGGGAGGGGAGGGGGGTAGGGCGAGAGCCAGCGAGTGTGTGAGGGGCTGCGAATTTGTCAACTTAATTGAGCTAATTGAGGGATTGTAAGAGATTTGTAAAAGCACAGCCATCGGATGGAAATTGATGTCGGTTAAATGATGGAAAGCCAGCCCCATGATGGGCATGGGGTAGTTTAGCACTCGGAGTTTCACTAGAGAATCTGACTAGATTCAGAACCCATAAATGAATCGTTTAGAGATTGCCCAGGAGAAGAGCTCGGGAGGAGCGAGAGTCGAGGCAATAGAGTCACAAATGTGACCAGAGGATCACCACTCTCGATTGTGTTGCTGCACTATTTGTGGGACTATAATATATGATACGCTTCAAAGATACATCTTAGCTTTGACCCAGGAAATTACCGTACAAGAGCACTCTCTAGATCCCAGCCCCCTAAGAATTAGACCTTTGCGGAGTAAGAACTCTGTTGCGCGGAATAATTTCATTAGCTCTGGAAAGGAAATCAGACCGTGTCCAGAACCGAGAAACCATGACCAAAAGAGCCTAACACCTTCAGCAGCCTGTACCATTTTTCCATTGAATATCCACTTATTCGTACAACTCTGAATATTTATTATTCCTTGCACTTTGCCTCGCAGACCGCTTTATCCTTGAAACGATTTTTGTTCCCAGCACATCGGCCGTAAACGAACATTTTGCACTCGTTCGTCTCGGGATAATAGGTAAATCCTTTCGTATAGCCACTGCAGTAACCGAAGTGGGCCGATTTTTGACCACAGATCCCTACAAAGGACAGCCAAAGCAGATACATCAATATTTCATTGCGTTCATTTCATTTCACTCACGATTCTTGAGCCCAATAGCAACCCCAGACAAGGCAAAGATAATGCCTACGATGGAAATTAACTTCATACTCGTTGCGGATTAGTGGACTTTGTGTTTCAGGTGATGTGGAGCGACTTGTCTGAAGTAGATCTATGAGGAATAACCATAATTACATTAGTTCTGAACCGAATCCGGAACCATTTATCAATTGAATATCCGTTTATTCGTACAACTTTTGATGAACTAAGAATAAAAAACAATGAATTATTCTCTGCATTTTGACTCGCATTCCGCTTTCCTCATGAAACGATTCTCGTTCCCCTCGCATCCGCCGTAATCGAACAATGCACACTCGTTCGTGTCGGAATAATAGGTATAAGATTCTATTAAGGCACGGCAACGGCCGCTGTTGGCTGGCTCTTGACCACAGATTTCTAGAAAAGATACATCAGTAGTACATTGCGAGGCACGCTTTCTCTCGTTAAACTTACTATGTCTTAGGCCCAAAGCAGCCCCAGACAAGGCCAAGATGAGGCCTACCATGGAAATTAACTTCATTCACGTTGCGGATTAGTGGACTGTTTCCTTCGGGTTTCAAACAGGAAGTGTAGTAGGAATTGCAGTGCACAGAATAGTTTCATTAGTTCTGGAAAGGGAATCAAAGCGGAACAAACCGATTCAAAGTCGAGTCCGGAACCGAGAACCGATATTCTTCGAGCTCCGATGGAACTTTCAGACTTATAAGAGTTTCCCTTCCACAGTGGCTGTTGGACACCTCCACAGGAGCTCAATGGCAGCGGCGACAGTCCCTCGGATGAGACCAACAGCCCCTGCTGGCCTGGGACCTTAACCCCCTTGGTCTTCTACAAGATAAATACTCCCTCAGCGAAAGTACTGGGCCACAAAAGTAGGGCTTACCTATACTTAAGGCTATACGAAAATCAGCTCAAATGCTGAGATTTAGTATTCATTAACGAGCACCTGAGAAACCATTACCAAATCCAGCCCGAGGGCACATCAATTTCAGTTCTCTTTGGCCTCTAATTAAGCGGTAGGCAGAACTACTGTCCTACTGTCCCCTCGTTTATAAGAAACTTATTCTGGAGCCTGGCCCAGCCGTTCCCTAGAGGCGGCGCTCACTCGCCCGCTCGATTGGGCAAAGAGCGAAACAAACAACTGAAAGCTGATATGAAAATTATTTCGCTCTTGTGTCGACAATTAAATGCCACGCCCAATGTAACAGAAGCCTACGCCCTCGGCCCCGGTAGACAGACAAGGTTTTTCCGAAAATATAATTAAAAACGGCTACAGAGTGGAAGGGCGGCAGGGCGGTGGAGCGGGAAGGGCGGGCATTGGCAGGAAAGCGGCTGAAAAATCTGTGCATTTAATTGAAACTCGCAGGAGCAGGGCGGCCGCAATCAGCTTGGTCCTTCAGCCAGGTCCTTAGTCCCTTAGTCCTTGTTCTTTGGCTCATAAATAAAATATGCCCAAGTGAGCCGGCAAAGAGTTTGTGTCTTAATGCCCTGCCGGTCTCTCTCCCTGTGGGCTGGAGGTCTCCGTCTCCGTCTCTGGCGCTGGGCTGCTTGTCAATCATGCTTTTCATCAGCTGCTGTCGCGTATCTGCCAGCTCTGCTCTCCGCCAGTTCTTGTTGATTGCAGGACGAGGCCATTTAGCAGGCAATGGATAAGGGATTGCCAAAGGGATGGGTTGGGACGGGCGGGGAGTGGATACAACTGCCATATTAATGAAGTTCAGGGAGAGCTCTGGAGTTGAACAAGTTGTTGCTGGGGCAACAAGCTGCTTTAAATCAATTCGCGAAAACAATTAAAAACTTGACTTTCGTTGCCAGAGCCGCTCCGCTGCCAGGCATTGCTGACATTGCGCACACGACATGTGGGCCAAGGCTCAAAGTTTGCGTAGAAAGCGTGAGCGACAAAGACAGCAAGGAAGTTGCAAAAACAAAGAGTGCAGAGTAGAGCCTCTGAATAGACTGCCTAACAACAAATACACTTCAACAACAACAACAACAACAGCAAAAGTTCCACTGCGTTTTGCATAATTAATGTTTTAATGTCAATCATACGCACTGTGCGCCGTGAAATATATGCAAACTGATTCGCGCGTTTTCCGCCTTACAAATGCAGGAATAAAGTTTTGGCTTGTAATTAAATTTGTAAAATTTTAATTTCCCCCAGCAGAAGATTGTCGAGCACAGTCGTGCATAAATGAGTTTTTCGACAAGTTTTCCGCGTCACAATGGAGAACTTTAAAAGCTTTAAGAGGCACCCCGAAGAGTGCCCGCCCCCGAAAAATCTAGCAATCAAAACTCTTTACTCTCTGCACACCTGCTGCCTCGAACAGAAAGGTGTCCCTCTGGCTGTCTGTCTGTTGTATTCCTCGAGAATTGATTACACACGACACGCCCCGCACTAATGTGCAAAAAGCAGCAGCTACGGGAGATGAAAAATTACAACAAATATCAAACAACAAACAAAACAGTGACAATAGCAAATAGTAATGGTATTGCCAGAGGCAACAATAATAGCAACATCGGCGATGGCAACTCTGGCAGCAGCAGCGGCATCAAAGATCTCAGTGAGGGAGAAGAAATCCTCGGGAACAATGTGACAAACGATGTGTGAAAGAGTCTCAGACGCTGAAAGCGTCAAGTGATGAAGGGGGGGGCCCACGAAAAAATCTAACCACACAATTGTCACAAGGGAGAGAGAGCCTTCCCCCCCCCCCCATGCCCTGCGAAACAGCGGAGAGCATTACGTATACGCAACGTTGGATTTGGTCATTTTTCATGGCAAACAAATGGGGTGGCGGTGGGCAAAGAGACAGGACAGGAGATAGAGAGAGAGAGGGGTGGGGGTGGAACGATGACGATGACTACAAATCGTGACAAATTCCTGATGCGGGTTAAGTTACACATTTTTTTGTTGATGCCTCTAAGCAGACGCCAAGCGTCTTCATCCCTCATTCTGGCTGTTGGCCAACAACTTTTTGGCATTTCAGCTTAAAAAACATTCGCAAAATATTTGTGATGTCTGTCGCATACGCATTTCAAAGGACATGTGGGGATTGCCTTGACTTAGCTCCCTTATCCTTGGCCGTGTCCCTTATTCAATTCCGGCCGACCATTAGCATTCGCCAGGCCATAAAAAATCGAAACCTAAGATGCCGCGACACTCGAAACCCCAATGGGGAGAATGAATTTTAAATATTTCACGGATGAATTTCGGAACATATTTCGCTGTCATCGCTGATGTTCTCTGATGGGTTTTGCAATCTTTTGTGTATGTTTTTTTGCATTTAAATTTCTTTTGGGCTATAAATTACACGGCAATGGCAGTGGCAGTGGCACTGGCCGTGGCTAGAACCTCACCTCGACCATTACGGGTTGAGTGTACGGTGCGAAAGCATATTCAATGACAACATTTTTAATGCAATTTATGGTCGTTAAGGCGACAAAATATAATAAAAATGAATAATATGCCAACTGCTGTGCTCTGCTCTGCTGTGCTCTGCTGTGCGGTTCTGTGTGGGTGATGCAACACGTGACAGGGTCCTGCCACAAGACCCATCCCATCCCGCATCCTACATCCTGCAAATTTATGGACGCTGTAAATAAATCGACGCGCCAAATGTGCGAAACAATGCATAAGTCAAAACGAACGCCAAATGAAACGAGGACATGTCCAAAATAAATAGCAAAAATATTAAAATATTTATGAAATGTTGGAAAAACCAGAAGAAAATAGAGAAACACACACACACAACAGAGATTGCTACAGAGGAAGGACACTGGGATACCGTGTAAACAGCCATTGATGTATGTCTGGCAAAGAAAATGTATGGAAATTTCAGGAAAAAACTATGGAAATCATAGAGCCCTGGGGAGCATCAACGAGTGCGTGCTCTTGGCGACAAAGTCAATCAATAATGCATTCCATTCCATTCCACTCATAAGATGTAAACCAAACATTATGAATACAGAATGATGCCATACGAGTACGGCTTGATATATGGAATATCAGGCACCTGACTGACTGACAGGTGAGGGGGGCATAAAAGCTTTCAGCTCCGGCGATAAACAATTCAATTTATCAAACATGAAAGGCATGCACAACTTTTACCAAATCGAACAGAAGATAGTCCCAACTGAAGCAATCATCATCGAAGGAGTAGACGAGTCTTTAGAGCTCTCAAAGTTGGGCTTTGGGATGAGGGAAAGTGTTTGAGGAATTGTAATATATTTTGGACAGTTTTTAAATGATTTTTAAAGGTGTAAATCTTTTAATCTCCCTAGAAATTAATTTTAAAAATTATTACCACAAAAAATACATCTAGTATAGAATAAAAGCCTATTTGAAAAATTTAAGTGGGTTTTCACATAAATATTGGTTGAAATTTAAGTCGAAAAAGGGGGACACTTGTCGTTTTCATATGATGAACCCTTGATGAACCTTTCGAGTCGAAAACTTATCCCCTGATGGCAGAGGTCACCCACTGTCTCCAGCTTTATCCGCACACATCCTTTCATCCTTTCTGCCCCTTCATGACATCCCGTCCACCGTTTGGACGCGTACACCTGAGCGTATATGAACATTTATATCAATATACACGAAAAAACATTATGACCAGAGAGGAAGGGGCTCATAAAAAATTCAAAACGGCTTAAGTAGCTTCAAAGTACCCCAAAAAAAAAAAGGAAACAAGAGCTTCAGTAAAAGTGAAAAGTACACAAAATGTGGGGCAGAAGAAGAGGGAGGCATGGTTGTGGTTTCCACTGACCCGATCCTAACCCCAGAAGACCAGAATGGACCGCCCCCCACCCCCACCCCCAACCCCCAACGTTGCCCCGACACGCATGTTTATGTGCTTTTTACAGCTGCTCCTTCGCTTATCTTTCACCCAAAAACTTTCTCCCTGCGTGCGTGTGTGCGTGAGCGTGTGTGTGTTTGCTGGCTGGAAAATGATTTTAAAAATAACTTTTGCGGTCATTTCCACTAAATGTTGCAAAGGGGTTGCTCTGTCCGACAGGGACAAGGGTTTAAAAATACTGAATAAAAGGTGGTGGAAAGAGGGTGGGAAAGCTGTTTGGTTTTCCGCCTGAGCAGGCATCGCTCGGCCTCACGCGCTTGACAATTTATTATTAGTAATTTTTCCAGTGTGAAAATCCAGTCAAGCAGGCACACCGCCGAGGCATCTAATTTGTTTTGTCTGATTTGAGCAGCAACAACAACTCCAAGAGATGTACAAAATATATACATACGTGGCATACCGAAAGCGGCATACCACCCCCCCACCCCGTAAAATGTGGCCAGGATCTCCAAGAAATTGGCAAAAAGTTTCACCTGGACTCCCGTTTCCCGTTTTCCCCCACTTGCCATTTTCCCAGCTGCCAAACAGATAAAAACGCACTTTACAGGAAAATCGCTGGCGGGGGGGAAAGCGGATGGAAACAGTGGGAAAACTGAAGGAAAACACATGCAAGGTTTTCACCTTTTTTTTCTGTGTGTGTTCTTTTATTATTGCTGAACTTTAACATGGCTACAATATAAATTAAAATGG